CCCCAAAACCCCAAAACCCCAAAACCCCAATTAATCTAATCTAAATTGAATGAGTGCAATTCAAATTCTTGACCAGAAAATGACCCTCAAACCAGAGTTGTCTAGTCAAACTGACTTTCTCAGCACAATTATTTCCTGATATTCAGGCTATGGCCAGACACTGATGTTCCTCATGGGAATTAACTACGCTAGATTTCAGGGGCAATTTAAGAAGCATGAATTCATAGAAATGATAGACAAAATACAAAAGAAAATCGCCGACCTAGGGACTTCGCCAACTCAAAATCTACAAATCTTTCAGCACCTTTTTACTCAGAAAAGCTTTAGAGAAGTTCTAAGCCTCTCTTGCTTCCAAGAAAGGAAGAAGCAGCTTGAACCTAATTCTGTGACTCCCACCAAACCAACAGTTCTTATGGGTCGATATATACCTGAATTAACCAGAAATATAAGCATGGCACTTATAAGCCAATCTACTCATCAGAGAAAAGACTAGACAGACACTCCTCTACTGCCAAGAAGAGTACTGCTAGTAGAGTTAAGCCACAGAGACTTGGACTGAAGTCTAAGTCTCTCTCAAAGGACGGCTCTAATGGATTTTTACCTGAATCTTCTTTCCAAGGCAAGCTCAAATAGGACAGTATAATCCTGTCAGGATCCTTTAAGAAGGCCCCTACTCACAAGAAGCATGGTCAAAGAGAGACTAAAGATGACCCTAGCAGTCGGAATCTGAGAGAAGTCATGACTATCTCAAGTTCTAGCACCGCCCAAGCTATTGAGCTCAATAGTTCTCAAAGCTTAATTGGAGCTCGATAGCCAAGAAGCCTAAGCCAAAGAAATTTGATAACTCTGATTTCAGAGATTGTCCAATTTAGGGGAATAACTTTGCTCTCGATTTTTTATACCAAAGTTGAGATAGAAGACTTTTCATTCATCGAATGTCTTCACACTTGCCACAAAGAGTGTCTCCAGATGTACATCAAGACTCAGGTTGATAGGAAGGACTTCTCCATCAGGTGCCCGATTTTAGACTGAAGCGAGCACATCCCTGATTCTAACATCGAAAGGATTTGTGAGAAAGATATCTATCAAAAATATTTAAGATTCCAGCTTGATAATTTTTTAGAGCTGAATCCTCGCATGTTCCTTTACTGTCCGAGCCCAGATTGCTAATATGTATTCAAATGGAGCCCAAAGTCTAGTTCTTGTAAGTATTCATGTCCTTCTTGTGCAAAGACTTATTGCTTGAGGTGCAAAGTACCTTGGCATGAAGGATGGACTTGTAAAGAGTTCTCCCCTATCAAAAAGGCAAGTCTTAATGACCAGATATTCTACAAGCTTGCCAAAGAGAGTAGCTTCCAGAAATGAAGTAAGTGCAAGTTCTGGGTCCAGAAGGAGGCTGGATGCAACCACATCACTTATAGATGTGGATATGAGTTCTGTTATATGTGGAGGAAGGCACAGAGAATTTAGTTGAGAGGAGTAGCTTTGATTGGATGAATAATCTAATATTTAGAAACTTCAATAATTTATTTTGAAGAGGGGTTTTGGGGTTTTGGGGTTTTGGGGTTTTGGGG